CTCTTGGGATTTTGGGCACAAATGCACACATGCCAGGCATGAACTTACGCAGCCAACTCCAGGACTCAATCTGTGGTCTACTATGTGGAAGTCCACCAACCTAACCACTATGCCATCTGCTGGTTCTGAATGCTCATACTTCTAATTAAAGGTACAGACCCAACACACACATTACTTCCATTCTTTCAAGTCTATTAATACAAGATTAAAGGGCATAAAAATATAAAAAGCTTAAATCTACCAGGACAAAGAAAATGACAGAAAACACAGAAAGAAGATTTTGAGGCTAGGATGATGTGTTAGTGAGAATTTACTAAGCGATTATCCTAAACTAACAATAAAGTCAAGGACAAACTTGATTTTCCTTTAAAGGAAATGGTGGCAACAAGAACCTCTAAAAATGGAAATGAAGGAGATAAAAATGGCAAGAGTCCAATCTGCTACAAAACAGATTCCCAAATCCATGTTCCATGCTGAAAAGCTAGATGATTGTCCCCTGCCACCACTTCTGTAGACGACCTTAGGCTTATTCACAGGAAAGGATAAAACAGTGTCTTTGGATTGGTGAAGCATAACCAAAGATAGGCATACTATGTTCTAAACCAGCGTGTGAGTGTTGGGAGTTGCAGCAGAAATCTCTCCACCAAAATTTAAAGTGCATGGGACCAGCAGTTGGCATAATGGCTGTGTTGCTGGACTCCCATGTAGTCGACTGCAGTTCAAGTTCCGAATCCAGTGACTTAAACTCATGCTGGGTACATGTGCATGTATGCCCAAGATCCTGAGAGGAGAATGGAGGAGAAAGGATTGTAGCATGGCCATCCCCACCCCCCAGGGCAGGGGTGATTTCTCGCTTTCTCTCTCTCTGTCTCTCTAGTGAGTGCACTCTAGCAAAAACCTCTCAAAAAAAAGTGCATAGATAATGCCTAACAAAAAAAATTAAGTCTGCATTCTGGAGATATGGAGGCAAACGCAAGAACACCATAGCTAGAGTTTAAAGTGTTGCCTCTGGGAAGCTAAAAATGGATGGGGTAGGCCTCAGAGACTGTTGTTTTTGTCACAAGCATAATAGAACCATTTTACCTTTAACTAAAAAACTACCTTAAAAATTAAAATATAGGCCAGCTGCCCTGGCACAGTAGTAATGCAATACTCTATGATGCTGAAACCATACTGGAACACCCCAGTTCATATACGGAGGTCTCCCTGGGCACACCCACAATCCTGGAAGGCTGGGGACGAAATGCAGCATGAAGACACTGTTGGGAGTACCTGCTTACCAGTCTGTCTCTGTCTTGGAAGAAATAAGTACATAATTAAACAAACAGAAGCCACTGCCAGAAAATTTAATTTAGCACTTAGTTGTTCTTAACTGTATATAAAGTATGCTGATCTTGAGTCCCTGATTAAACTGGATAGGGCAGAATCCATCTTAATGCATTTTAATTTTATCTAAAAAAAATGGTTCTCAATGGGGATTCATTTTGCCCACATGGGACATTTGGCCAAGTATGGAAATGTTTTTAGTTGTCACAATCAGAAGAATGAGCACTTCTGGCATCTGTTGGGTAGTGGCCAGGAATACTACTAAAGATCCTAAATCCACAGGCTAGCCCCCATAACAAAAACTTATCCATCTAAAATGTCATAGTTTCTAAGTACTACAATTACTGTGCAGAAGAAGAGCTCTCACAGCACCATAAATTCTCAGCATGTTCAACTTGGGCCCATCTTAATCTCCTAGGCTTCCACTTCAAAAGAGGGTCAATATTTTTGAGATAGGGTAGTTTATAAAATCTAGCAAAATTCAAGACAATGCTCTTTTGACATATTTCCCTCAAGATATTTCAATAGCATAATAATTCTGCATAAATTTTTCCTCCAGTGTCCCTTGGTGGGGGTTGGGGAGAGAAAGAAAAGGTAAGAGATATAATGTCTGAACTAATTCTATGCAGTATTTCTTGATTATAACTCAATATAATACAATAAGTTTTGACAATATCATAAATTTTCACTTCTTCTTCCAAGAAACCTGCTCTGAAGACACATTGTTCCCCATCTCTGCTGGTTATATGGCATTTGTATAGTACCTGCAAGTGATCAATTCTGTCAGCCATTTTTAATCATATTCCAGCTTTTTTCATACTACTAACACCTTATAATTTTCAAATTGCTCTCTCATTGTCTACTCATAAATTGCCAAGGTCACGAGCAGACTGTTTAAACTCCAAAGCACCTAAAACTTTAACACAAGTTAAGTCCCATTTATTAAGGACTATCTCTTATCTTTATCCTGGCTTAATCTAAGAATATAGAGATCACACATTAACTTATTACCTCTGGAAATTACTAGCCCTAAGGAGCTGCTATGGTTTAGATAATGATTTTCCCCCCAAAGGTTCATGTAAGAGAAGCTTGGTCCCCAACGTGATGGTGAGCTCTTTAGGAGGTGAGGTCTAGTGGGTAGTGTTTGGATCATTAATCTCATGCATAGATTAATGCTGTCTCATGAAAGGAGGTGAGTTGTCATACAATTTTACTCTGACAGAAAGGAGTTAGCTCCCTCCAGAGGAGGTTGTGATAAAAGATGGTTGCTGACAATTTCTTCCTAAGATTATTTATTTCTATTTATTTATATTTTTGGAGAGTTATTTTCTAGCTATAGGACACGTGCGCTCGCCAGACAGACAAAGAGAGACTAAGAGACAGAAAGAGAAATCACCCCCCAGGGGGGATGGCCAAGTCGCAATCCCTTCTCCTCCATTCTCCTTTCAGGATCTTGGGCATGCACGCACACGCACCTGGCGTGAGTTTAAGCCACCGGGTCTGGGACTCAAACCACAGTCAACTACGTGGGAGTCTAGGGACACAGTCATTACACTAACTGCTGGTCCCAAGATTATTTATTTAATTTTATTTATTATTGTTCTTTTTTTTTTTTTTAATTTTCTATAGGACATATGTGCTCATGGGAGATAGCGCGCACACACGAGAGAGAGAGAGCAAGCAAAAAAGCAAGCTGCCAGGTCTGGGACTCAAACCATGGTCAGCTGTGTTGGAATCCAGCACCTTAACCACCATACCACCTACTGGCCCCTCTATCTGTATCTTTCCATGTGCCTGACCTTCCTGTTTCTGTGAGCCATCTTGTGACATGGGACCAGAGGCTGGTCAGATGCTGGCTCTATGCTCTTGGACATTCTAGCCACCAGAATTTTGAGACAAATAAACCTCTATTCTCTATAAATCCACCCAGTATCATTTCTGTTAGCAACACAGTAACAGATTATGACAGGACCCAAAAAAATGAGAGTAATTTTCAGCTTGTACACCCAGAGAAAACTGTTGTTTTAGCTGAGGCTCAAATTAATTCTACAGTTTAGGGACCAGCAGTTAGCATAATGGCTATGTCACTGGACTCCCATGTAGCTGGACCACGGTTGGAGTTCCGGACCTGGTGGCTTAAACTCATGCCGAGTGCATGTGCATCCATGTCCAAGATCCCAAGAGGAGAGGAGGAGAATGGACTGAAGCATGGCCATCCCCCCTGGGGGGGTGATTTCTCGCTTTCTGTCTCTTTCTCTTTCTGGCGAGCGCATGAGCCCTATAGCAAAAACCTGTCACAAAAAAAAGTAAAAAGAAAAATAATTAATTCTACGGTTTATAATTCTGATAATCTAGCATAGTATAGTAATGTATACTTTGCAATACAGGGCAAAGATGATCAGAGAAAAAAAATAAAAGATGCACTTGGAGATGACCCAGCATTTTCTATCCACTATTACAAAGCTTCCACTTTCATTTTTATATCTTTAACTAATCAGAATCTGCTTACTCCTGTTCCAGATTCTTGTACAATAATTCTCTCTAATACATTTTTTTTCTAGAAAAGGTAACTTAAGAAACACAACATGTCAAGGGCCAGCAGGTAGCATGATGGTTAAGGGCATTGGACTCCCACATGGCCAGCCATGGTTAGAGTCCGAGACCTGGCAGCTTGCTGTCTCACTTTCTCTCTCTCTCTCCCTCTCTCTCTCTCAGTCTCTCTCTCTCTCTCTTTCTCATTCTGTCCCTCTCTGGTAAAAATGAAAATAAACAAATAAATAAGTAAAGTTAAATAAAATAATTTTTTAAAAAAATGAAACACATCTCGGAACCAGAGGATGGCGTAGTGGTTACATCACTAGACTCTCACATAGTTGACTGCAGTTCGAGTCCAAAACCTAGCGGTTTAAAACTCTTGCTAGGTGTGTGAGCATGTGTGCCCAAAATCCCGAGAGGAGAAGGAACTGTGATGTGGCCATCCCCCCCGGGGGGTAATTTCTCACTTGCTGTCCAGCTAGCTAGCATACACACCCTATAGCAAAAATCTCTCTGTAAAAAAGAAAGAATCTCTCTTCACATAACTGAAATTACATGAGAATTAGTCTTATGGAAAAGGTGTTTTTTTTTTTTTTTTGGAGAGGTTTTTGCTATAGGGCACGTGCACTCACCAGAAAGACAGAGAAAGACAGAGAGACAGAAAGCGAGAAATCACCCCCTTGGGGGGATGGCCACGCCGCAATCCCTTCTCCTCCTCTCTACTCTTAGGATCTCAGACACGCACGCACATACGCCTGGTGTGAGTTTAAGCCACCAGGTCGGAGACTCGAACTGCAGTCGACTACATGGGAGTCCAGTGACATAGCCATTACGCTAACTGCTGGCCCCTGTTATGGAAAAGGTTTAAACATCCTGACTGGTTCAAGGAAAATCTGAGAACAATTAAAAGAAACTTCAGGAACCTAGACTTTTGACTTATAACAATTACTAAGTAGTTATTTGTTCAAAAGGCTTTAAAATAGATGTTGGAAATAGGATTGAAAGTGTGTAAAAACTGTTAACAGAGGTTGGTTAAAGGAATATGAATTTCTAAAAGTTATAACACATTTACTCTAAATATCCTGCCAGCAAAGTGTTAGGTTGCCATATTTTAAAATCTATGCTATTTGCTACTATACCTTGATAGCCTCAATGGCATATTCCACTTGAAATAATCTTCCTTCAGGGGAAAAAGTATTCACGCCCCTACAATTAAAAATAAAAAGTATTAGAAATTGTCAGAAAAATTAATCATGTGGACACTGAAATCAAGTTCTTGACAACTAGTTAAGATGGCTACATGACTGACATGTCATCATTCTCTACTTCACCCACAACTATCTATAGCTATTTTTGATATATTTCCAAGGGAATGGAACCTATATATGTTAACAGCAAGGCACTTCTGTCCTACTCCCAGAAGTCTTCCTAAACAGATCAAATGAGGCAACTTTCCAGCCTGAACTGAGAATCAAACTGAGAATCAACCTGAATTAATGTTGAATTAATTTATTATTTCCTTTGATAAATTCATGCTCCAAAACTATCAGACGATTTCCAAGAAAATGTACATTTAAGGTTAATATTTTACTTTTTAGTAAAGGTCACAAGAACATTTCTCTACTTATCTGTATATCTTAGTATTGTTATCTTTTTTTTTTATATATAGAGGTTTTTGCCTTAGGGTGCACGTGCTAGTTGGAGGGAGAGAAAGACAGAGACAGTTAGAGGGAAAGTGAGAGATCACCCCTGTGGTGGATGGCCACACCACAATCCCTTCTCCTCTATTCTCCTCCCAAGATTTTGGGCATGCACCCAGCGAGATTTTTAAGCCACTGGGTCCAGGATTCAAACAACAGTTAGCCACATGGGAGTCCTGCAATGTAACCACTACACCATCTGCTGGCACCCGTTATTTTAACAATAGACTGAGAAGGGCCAGTGGGTGGCTTGGTGGTTAAGGTACTGGAACCCACATGGTCAACTACGGTTTGAGTCCTGGACCTGGCAACTAGCTTTCTCGCTTTCCCTCCCTCTCTCTGTCTCTCTCTGGTGAGCACATGTGCCTTATAGTAAAATTTAAAATAACACTAATAATAAATAAAATTAATAATTCTTCAATAGACTGAAATCCATATATATTCATTTCTAAAGCAAAGCATAACCCAGTTAATTTACTTAATAGATATTTATACCAATTACAAGTCAGATAGGTTTTTCTCTCTCAAGCATTTCCCCAACTTCCCTTGCTCCAGTGTTTAGAAATCTCTAAGGAGAGGAGGCATTGATCATGGTCTTACTGCTAAAACAATTTGAAAAATATTTGAACAAATAATGGTTGTAATCCTTAGTTTATGGAGTTTGCACTATGTAACAGGTAACAATATATAGTTCAGTGTTTTCAAATTTGTTTTATGAAAAACATTTTTCAAAGAAATTTTATATATAATCCTGCAATATAAAACAGAAAATTTAAAAAGTTGACATTTGCTGGGCATATACATTATGCCTGGTACTGGTATAAGCCTTTAAACAATTTAACTCATATAATCCCCCAAATGATCCTATGAAACAACATTCTAAAGCAGATACTATTTTACAGATGAGGAAGTTGAGACACAGAATTATGTATATTGCCCAAAGTCACTCAGCACATAAAAAATGAAGCTTGAATTAGAATCCAGGCAATCCGACTAGGAGACTATCTCACTACACTACCTCTAGAATTATCCCCCCATCCCATTTGCTCCATAGGTAATATATTTAAGGCCATTAAAAAAAAAAGCTTAGGGCTCTAAAGAACAGTTTAAAAATCACTGAAAGGGGGCCAGCAGGTCATGTAGTGGTTATAGCTCTGGACAACTACATGAATGACCACAGGACTATGACCACAGTTTGAGTCCCAAACCCAGGGCCTGAAACTCACACCAGGTGTGTAGGTAGGTGTGTAGGTGTGTGTGTGTGTGTGTGTGTGTGTGTACATGCGCCCAAAATCCTGAGAGGAAAATGGAGAAAGGATTGCCTGAGGAGTGATTTCTTGCTTTCTCTCTCTCTGTACTCTGTCTCCAGAGAGCACACATGCTCTATAAAAAAATCTCTTAAAAAAAAAAAACACTGAAAGAAAAATCTGAGGTCAGAAGACCTAGGATTGAGTTCTAATTTTGCTACTTACCAGCTTTAATTGCCATCCATTAAAAAATAGAAATAAGTTATGTCTTGCTCCTGTCACAGAACAATCGAATATTCAATTGCATAGTGTATGAAAGAACTTCGAAAACTGTGAAGCACTACACGATTGTAGGGGTTTTTTTTTTTAACTCTAATTTGAAACTTCATACTAAAAAGAGATTATTTCGTCCTTCCTAATATGGATTTTATTCTTGGTCCATCTTCTCAAACTTTACTGTCTCCCTATGTTATTTCATCCATGCCAAATACCAACCTCTTCCAAATCTCTATTACCAATTTGGACTTTTTCCTAGATAATCTAAATGCCTGCCTAACATTTTCACTTGACTATCCCATTAACACCTAACACTCAAAATTTTCTAATCTGAAATACTATCTCTTCTAATCTAGTCACCCTCAAAATCGGCTTCATTCTCTACCATTCATACTGCAGTTTTATTTTAACACAACTTGTCTCCTGGTTCCCCAAGCTGAAAAGTTCTGAATGATCTGTCTCATTTCTCTCAGTCTTCTCCCATATCCAAACACATGCAACATTACATCAATTCCTCCTTTGTAGTAATACTCCTCTCATTCTCACTGCCCTCATTACCTTTCACCTGACTAGTGCAAACAGTTTGAATGGTGCTATTTCCTTTATATAGCCAATTAATATCTATCAAACACCAAAACGATTATGCAACTTCTTAAAATGACAATTAATGGCATGCAGTCGACTATAGCATAGTATCAAACTCCTTATCCACACATCAAAAATCATACAATGTTTAGTACCATTGTGTTTTTCCCATATTCCAGCTATGCCCATAAATTTATCATATTTGCTAATTATACTGGCCTTTTCCCAAACATGCCTTGTGCTTTTCCACTGCCCTCCTTTGTCCATTCTATTTTCTCTCACTCAAAACAATTGACTCTCATTATCTACAGTTATTAAAATCTATAACTTACTAAATATCTCGAGACCCAGTTTAAATAAGTTTTTTTATATTATTATTGCCAGAGCAAGTATGCATGTACCAGAAAGAATACAGAGAGCACCCTGCAATGGGTCATGGTTGTAAAACAACCTTTAGCTTCCATCTTTCCATTCTGTCAAGATTTAGGGTACACACACACTATAGTTATTTTTATTAACCATGCTTTACTCATCTCCTGTATGAGAGCAAGGATCTTGATTTTGTTCCCTGCTGTGACCAGGACCTAAAACAGTGCCTTCCTTGTACACAGCAAGCCCTCAAGTACATTAGCTAAGTTATTAAAAAAGGGCAATATTTGGGCCAGCAGGTGATATGGTGGTTAAGGCACCTGGATTCCCACATGGCCAACCATGGTTCAAGTCTGGACCAGAGGCTTGAAAATCATGCCAGGTAAGTGTATGTGTGCCCAAAATCCTGAGAGAAGACTGGAGAAGGGATAGGAGCATGGCCATCTGCCTCACCTCCAGGGGTAATTTCTCACTTTTTATCTCTTTCCATCGAGTACACAAGTACTATAGCAAAAACCTAAAAAAAAAAAAAAAAAAAAATGTGGGGGGAAGTGCTTCATTTTAGGTATTCTTGGGAAGATAGAAAAATAACACAAAGCAATTAATACATATGTTAACAAACACAAAATTTGATAAAGGTTTCTGATAAGGATAACAATTTCCATCACACACTTTAGCTTTTTTTTTTTTTTTTTTGAGAAGTTTTTGCTATAGGGCTCGTGCACTTGCCAGAAAGACAGAGACAGAGAGATAGAAAGTGAGAAATTACCCCGGGGGGGGGGGGGATGGTCAAGCCGCAATCCCCTCTCTTCTCCATTCTCCTCTAGGGATCTTGGGCACGCACGCACGCACACACACTCGGCATGAGTTTTAAGGCACCCGGTCCAGGACATGAACCGTGGTCGACTACGTGGGAGTCCAACGACATAGCCATTACGCTAACTGCTGGTCCCCACACACCCTAACCTTTATTACCCAGAGATGATTCTCTTTAGTGCTCTGAAAACTAAATACCGTCTAACAAAGTCACTTTATAGGGAAGTAGGAAAAAAGTCCTTTTTTTTAAAAAAAAAAGTTTTTTACCATAGGGTGTGTGTGCTTGCCACAGAAAGAAACAGTGAGAGGAAAAGTAAAAACTCACTCCCCACCCCCACCCCCACCCCAGGAGATTTCAATTGCAACACTGCAATTCTTTGTCCTTCTTTCTCCTGGGGTTTTGGCACCCGCCCTCACACACACCTAGAGTAATTTTCAAGCTGCTAGGTATGGAACTTAAACGGCAGTCAACCATGCAGGAGTCTAGAACCTTAACCACTATGCCACCTGCTGGACCCAAAATGTCAATTTTCTTTTTTTTAATTTTTGAGATTTTTTGCTATAGGACTCATGGGCTTGCCAGAGAGACAGAAAGAAACAGAGAGACAGAAGGCAAGAAATCATACCCCAGGGGGATGGCCACACTGTAGTCCCTTCTCCATTCTCCACTGGAGATTTTTGGTCCGGGGTAAGTTTTAAGCTGCCAGATCTGAGACTCAAACCACGGTCAACTACATGGGAGTACAGTGACTTAACCATTACACTATCTGGTGGTCACCAAAATGTCAAGATTTTTTTTTTTTTTTTCAAAAAAAAGAGAGATTTAATT